ATTACTGTAAATAAATTAATGTGTGTTGGTAAGTGTTGCCATCCAAAAATACTCTGGTCCTACTGTCTCACTGTACCATACCTGCTCCTGTATCTTTCAAACTTAAGTTTCCCACAACATTTTACTTAACATTGTTACTAGGAAGCTTGCTTCCCCCCCCCCCTCCACTTGTAGGTAAACAACTGTTAGGTATATTTCTATTATTTCTAAATCTGAGTTGATAGATCTTGAATCCATAACGAGTTTTGATTTAGTTTGGTATTTTCTGCACCATACATGTGTACCCCCCGCTTTTTTTTTTTTTAGGTTTATGTTCCCGTTGTAAACTTCTACTACATCAAACCATACCACGGGTGGGGATTGAACATGTGGCGAGCGAGTCGTAAATCTGGCCTGGGGTTTTAAGACTCGCAAGCCACGAGTTCAGTCCCCACCTGTGATATGGCTCGTTTGCAATCGTGTCATTATTAGTTCTGTTACATCACTCGTCCTACGTCTTGTAAGAGTGAAAGTCCACTGCTTCTACTGTCTTTTTTGGAACAGTTATTAACATAGGAAATTAATTTCGCCATTTTTATCTATGCACGTTTCAAGGACATGTCACCTTTATCTTTATTTTCTAGGTCATTTACATCTATAATGTAGTCTGGACACACAACTGCTGCTCATAATTTAAAATGAAGTCTTTCAACAACGACAAATACGACTATTATAGCTTGTGTTGCTTATACTTGTTGCTAAATTAAATATTCCATTAATTTTATTGCAAACATTTGTAAATTGTTGCTTTGGCTTCAAATTATCTGCTATCCAGAACTCTGTGGAAAGACACAAGGTATAAAGAAAACCTTTATAGTACGTCTCGTTCTATGTAGACCAAAACTTACTGTGTAAATGAAGGTTTGCTCAGGACACTGATTATTTCTAAGTTGTCGGCAAATCTTGCCTTTGAAACCCTTCCGGAGCTCCTTACACGTCCGCTTTAAGTTGCGTAATATTTTAGTTACATCTCTGTACATATTACACTGCTGGGTCAGGATCTTATGGTTTTTTTCCTCTCTGAAATTATCTGCCACTTAACTCACCTCGACATTAACTAATTAAATCACAGTCATGTTCGGGTCTCCTCAGGAATGGTGTCTTGGACGATTTTTGGTTACTCTTGTTTCCTCATCCAAGTGGTTGTGAACAAGTGGCGTCCCACTGACCCAGGTGGTACACCACTAGGAGCTGCTCTCCCAGTCAGACTTCTCTCCATTTCTGCATTATTATTAACCTGGCTGTCACCAGTGATTCAATATAGGAAACAATGTTCATGTCACCTGAAGATTCATTCCTAAGTTATTTGTTTTATTTTGCCAGAGAGAATCACCTGAGGCTGTCGTAATCAAGCGACGACTCGCTCATGTAATCATCCCGAGGGAAACAGTGAATTATGATGATACAAAATAGGTTTAACAAGTTTGTTGCGTAAATTTTAGCAAGTTTACGCTAGGCTTTTATTTAAGATTTGGTACATATAAAAAAAATCTTTTGAAACGAAATGAGACTTTGTTTAAAAGTTTAATCTCCAAAGTGTAGGTGATTTGTTAAATTATTTGTCACTCAGTTGTGACTTTTATTCGTTCTTATATCTGTTATTATCGCTCTGAGACCAACTTCAACAACGTTGAAGATAGTCTCAGTGTAAGGCCGAAATGACGACACTGGATTTGTTTCACTGTCTCTACGTGTTCGTTTGTGCCATCCAATAGTGTTTATTACATTTTCGCACCTGGATCTGGAGAACAATATTTATCATGCAACTCCTGGTCTTCTACATACCTTCTGTATAATCTTGTTTATATTGTTCTGTCTCTCTTCATTATTGCTCATTCCTGAAATATTACCCATGGAATTTAGGAGACCTGTTGAGACAGGACAGCAAGGGCAGTGACTGTTAGAACCATTAACAGATAACAAATGTCTAATACATAAACAGGAAGAATGTACACTGTGATTTAAGAATACAATGAAGTCATATACGAGGTCTTGAAGCTAAGTGTTTCTGGCCGTCATAGGTTCAATGATAAAATTATATTTTATATTTATGTGAAGCTCTAAAGTCTGTAGATCGTCCAGCACAAGGCTTCCTATAGGACTCGATCCTCTGTTTCCTAATTGTGAAATAGACATGATACCTGTGGCTCTTAATTTTCCACCATTCAGTACTATGACAACAGCACATGTGGGATACACTCGTACAACTGTTTACAGCTGACCTCAAACTGAAAAAAAAAGAAACGAAATATTTCGTTGCGTCTTAGAACCTTATCAGGTCGCAAGTGCAGATGACTCGACGCGTTGTTTAATTTCCATTCTTAGTTTGTGCATTAGTTGTAAATTATTCCAACTACAGCATATTGACTTGTGCTTGACACGGCTCTACGGACATTGATGACTGGAGCACTCTCAGAACATTTCATTATTTCTCTTATTTTGTGTTAATGAGATGTTGAACCATCGAAAGTTAATTACTGTTCCGTTAAATCCATAATTGCTACGAATGTTCTTACCGCTTTCAGTAAACAGGATACTATCAGTCTAGTATTTTTTATTATGTAAAAGGAACCAGAGTAAGCTGTCAGCGTACACACGCGTGAGCCGTGCATCTGTCAGTGGGTATTATCATGGGGAATGAGAGTAATCATGTGATACCAGGAAAGTAAGGGTAGCTGCACTTCCTCGGATCCAGCGTACCTTAATTCCTAAAGTAGGGACCAAAATTGACCCTGAACGTATATGCGCTGAGGAATATACTGACTGTCAGTGTTGACACGAGCATTTGGGGGACGAGTGTGTTGTAAGTCACAAGGATGATCATAGTTGGTCAGGTAGGTCTTGTGTTGAGTCTGTGTTGTCATTCACAAAGTAAGTGTGTTAGGTTATAGTGTTAGTAATGAACATGCTAAACATTCTTGTTCACAGAAGGAAATAGTTACCAAGACTAATTCAGTCGGTTGTCAGACAAGTCTTCAGTATTCCTGATTTTGAACGATCCTGATTTTTCCCTAAATTTATCATTAAACTTCAGGAAGAAAGACAAAACAAAGATTAAACGCGAGTAAGTAAACATTAACATTTCTGTGATAATACACTAGATAGGTTATGCAGCTATAATGTATATGCAGCAGTTGCTCGCTGTATATTTCTTAGTTTGTATGATCTTAGAGTATTTATAAAGGTTGTGTAGGTGTGTTAGTAGTCCATGGTATGCTACATTACTCTATCTCTGATATATTGTCATATTTTATGAAAACAATATAAGTCGGCGCACTTAAAAAAAAAATATTACCAGTAATATTTAACGTATTATTGGTAATGTAATATATATTAATTAAAGATGTTAATGATCCTAGGTAGACATTCTAATATTTATACACAATCACAGTAACCGAGGCAGCTTAACCAAAACACTTGGAAACAGAGAATAAAACCATTAAGTTTTCTGCTTCACTTTGTGGTAAATTATTGTCACATTTTACTGCGAACAATGAAATTTGATATCTAGGGGGCTTTGATTTACTTAATTTAACATATTAAATATATTTAACCACTTAATCACTAAAAGTAAATTACGCAGAACATTAGCAAGATAAATTAGTAACCCATGTTCATGAAACAAACAAAAATGTTTATAGTTCACCTGTACATCTTGAACTGTAGATTACTACACTACTGGTGTTAACATTACTTACCTCCTCTACATGACAGGTGGAGCAACCCATCACGATAACCACCACATTACTTTTTACGTTAATGAAAACTGGTTACAGAACCCACATGTCGGTCCTCCAACATGTGCCTCATGTCGGTCCTCCAACATGTGCCTCATGTCGGTCCTCCAACATGTATATGTAGATAGTTTTCCGATGTCTTTCAAACATTCACAGCTGAAAAGTCTTGTGTTCTCCAGCTAAGTTTTACATATATATCTTCAGTGAGTGTCTCGTGGTCTTGCTGCCCCACTTAGCCAGCCCACTGCATGCTTGTAATGCAGTGGGAATTATTATTATTATTATAATCAAGGGGGGAGCGGTGGGAAGCTTGGTGGTCTTGTCCAGGGTGCAGCCTCGTTCCTCGCCAGTTTTTGGTCATTGAATACCCAGAATGACCTGGGTCATGAGCTTAAAATTCATGTATTGGCTAATGAACGCTAGCAAGGGACGCGCTTTTTTTATTCATGTGTTGGCAATTAATAACGTGAACACAAATTGTGCTTTCGTTCTGTCTTATCTACCTTCGTGTTATGAACATATGATAGTAAACTGCTGGGCTGTGTGTGGGGTTATTCACTTGTATTGAGTGTCAGAGACAGCTGGAGAATGACCATTTCAGTGCAAGAATTTGAGCTATTAAACACCATTTTCAAAGATTATAATAATTATAATCAAAGAAATGGTGTTTAATTGTTCAAATTCTTGAGTTTCTCTGTCTTTTGAGTCAAAATACTCTTTATTTTTCCATTACTTTTTTTTGTGTGCAAAAAAGTGCTAGACTGCTAATTATTAAATGAATAAAATTAATGTTCACGAATATCATTTCTCCAGCTTCTTGGGCTAAACAAACCGTCTGTATCGTTTTACTGTGTTATTCAATTTGGAAGTGATCCTCAGACGCCTGTGACCACACTAGGTGGCTATTATACCCTTGCCTGTGGTCACAGGCTTCTGGGGATCACTTCTCAAGTGAATATCACACAAATATCATTCAGATATGATTGCTTAATAAAAAGACTAAATATGTGACCTGGAGAAATGATATTCTTTGTATTTTTCCATCCATTATTTTCACTTATTTTCACTCTTTTATAATGGCTGTAATTGTTGAATGTTACAGCTGGGGAAAACTGTATTGGGAAGATAGCTCTTTTTTTGTTTTTGTTTATGTTTATGAAAATGTTAATGCTAGAAGAAAGTATATGTAGGGAGCTACGTTGTCAGGAGGGTGTCAGTACTCACCAGGTTCTGGAGGGCCAGCAGCTGGTCTCTTGTGTTGTTAAGGTCCCTCAGAACACTCTTCAGGTTGTCGTGCTCCCATGGTTCCATTGGGTTCTTCTCCCTGGACCACTGGTCCATAGTGGGACCACGGACCAGGCTCGTGGCCGGGGACGAGTTTTGGCTACGTCCTTCAGGTTCCCTCGAGCCTTCCTCGCCGACGCCACCCCCTCCAGGCCTCTCACCGGGGCCTCTAGGACTCTCCTGGCCCTCCTGTGGTGTAGTCACTCTGCTGCTGGGAGTCGCAGCACCGGGAATCTGCGGCAGTTTCCGCCGCCCGCTCATGCGGTGTATAGTGTGGTACCTGACGTAGGGCGAGACGAACAGCAGTTTTATATATATATATATATATATATATATATATATATATATATATATATATATATATATATATATATATATATATATATATATAATATATATGTATAATTATTATTATATTATTATTATATTATTATTATTATTACAAGGATCTGTTTTACAGGCTAAGAGCTGTTATTCTACCTCAGTTCATTCGTAAGTCCAGCCCTATCGAAGGTATATTACAACACCCCAGGATGCCACTCACAACAGTCGACTAACACCCAGGTACCTGCTTTCTGCTCGGTGAATAGGAGCAACAGGTGTATGAATACATCTCCAACGTTTCTCCCCATGCTGGGGATCGAAATTAGGACACTCAGTGTGAGTTGAGGGTGTATATATACGCTTGTGTTCCAGCTGCTTCTGAGCTTTAATTATTATAATGTGCAGTATTACTGTGTGGGAGTACTGTGGTGGTTCTCTGGGTGTAGGGATACGGTTTTGGAAGTACGGTCTTAATATTGGTATGGTAGTATTGTGGGTATGGAGAATATGAGGGTGATGGTACCCTCACAGGTATGAGTGAAGCGGTTTACAATGACAGGCTGCCAGACTCACCTGAAGGGGTTGTCAGGGTCGTCAGGAGGCGGTTGTGAGGGTGGAGGAGGCGGATGAGAGTCCGATGGTGTCTTAGTATCTTGTCGGGTGGTCAGGTCCTGCCAGAAGTTGAGTGCCGCTGGGCGTGTGTTGCGTGTTCCTGACGCCTCTCTCCGTGATGACACCTCCCCGTCACCCTCCACGGAGGTGTTGAGAGACGTGGTCATGGGGTCGTCACAAGACTCGTCGAGACCACCTTTGTTAGGGCCGGAAGGGCAATCGGTGGGTCCCGACCACTGGAATTTGTGGGAGGCTCTGAGGGAGTCGTATGCCCAACGGGTGGGAGCCACTCTCCTGGGCAGGTTCTCGTACACTGGGGAGGAGTCCAGCGGGGTGGCAGGGGCGGCAGTCATACTTGGATGGCGTCGCAGCCCCATCACGCCTCCAGGGTCCTCCCCGCCACCCGTCACCAGGGCGCGCCTGTTAGCGCTTAGGTTGGGTGTCTTGTCAGAGGCAGCTGTGGGCGCGTCAGGGCCCACGCCCACGTCTGTAGGGAAATAGTGTAGTTACTGCTGCAACACGGGTCAACGACAGTCATTAGTACAGCAGCACAGGTCACATGTCTGGCAAATTTTGTTTTTGACTACAGTATGTTAATCAGTCGTGGAAAGTAGCTAAGAGCTGTTGACAGTGTAGACTAAACAAAAAATACCTTTATGGGATTAAATCTGCTTAAACTTCAAGCCACGGACACGCTGTATGAGCCATAAGAATTTAGTGCTCACATACGGTTTACAGCAACTTTCTTAATTATAGTAGGTTATATTAGGTTAAATTGAATTACTGTCGTCTATCAATAAAAACTGACCAATTATAACATACCACAACGGCAATAAATAAAATATTAGATAAAGGCGAAAAAAGTCATGATGCGAGGACAGAAAAGTCACCGCCATTCACCTGTCGTAACAACAATGAAATAGTGTTAATAGAAGGATGGGTTGTACTGTTGTATCACTTATCCAGAAGGTGCAGGCAGGAGTGATGCTAGAAATGTTGTAGCATGTTGTGCAGGCAGGAGTGATGCTAGAAATGTTGTAGCATGTTGTGCTGGCAGGAGTGATGCTAGAAATGTTGTAGCATGTTGTGCAGGCAGGAGTGATGCTAGAGATGTTGTAGCATGTTGTGCAGGCAGGAGTGATGCTAGAGATGTTGTAGCATGTTGTGTGGCAGGAGTGATGCTAGAGGATGTTGTAGCATGTTGTGCTGGCAGGAGTGATGCTAGAGATGTTGTAGCATGTTGTGCTGGCAGGAGTGATGCTAGAAATGTTGTAGCATGTTGTGCTGGCAGGAGTGATGCTAGAAATGTTGTAGCATGTTGTGCTGGCAGGAGTGATGCTAGAGATGTTGTAGCATGTTGTGCTGGCAGGAGTGATGCTAGAAATGTTGTAGCATGTTGTGCTGGCAGGAGTGATGCTAGAAATGTTGTAGCATGTTGTGCTGGCAGGAGTGATGCTAGAAATGTTGTAGCATGTGCAGGCAGGAGTGATGCTAGAGATGTTGTAACATGTTGTGCTGGCAGGAGTGATGCTAGAAATGTTGTAGCATGTGCAGGCAGGAGTGATGCTAGAGATGTTGTAACATGTTGTGCTGGCAGGAGTGATGCTAGAGATGTTGTAACATGTTGTGCAGGCAGGAGTGATGCTAGAGATATTGTAGCATGTTGTGCAGGCAGGAGTGATGCTAGAGATATTGTAGCATGTTGTGCTGGCAGGAGTGATGCTAGAGATGTTGTAGCATGTTGTGCTGGCAGGAGTGATGCTAGAAATGTTGTAGCATGTTGTGCAGGCAGGAGTGATGCTAGAAATGTTGTAGCATGTTGTGCTGGCAGGAGTGATGCTAGAAATGTTGTAGCATGTTGTGCAGGCAGGAGTGATGCTAGAAATGTTGTAGCATGTTGCGCAGGCAGGAGTGATGCTAGAAATGTTGTAGCATGTTGTGCAGGCAGGAGTGATGCTAGAAATGTTGTAGCATGTTGTGCTGGCAGGGTGATGCTAGAAATGTTTGTAGCATGTTGTGCAGGCAGGAGTGATGCTAGAAATGTTGTAGCATGTTGTGCTGGCAGGAGTGATGCTAGAAATGTTGTAGCATGTTGTGCAGGCAGGAGTGATGCTAGAAATGTTGTAGCATGTTGTGCAGGCAGGAGTGATGCCAGAGATGATGTAGCTGTTTTTGCTGGCAGGAGTGATGCTAGAAATGTTGTAGCATGTTGTGCAGGCAGGAGTGATGCTAGAAATGTTTGTAGCATTTGTGCTGGCAGGAGTGATGCTAGAAATGTTGTAGCATGTTGTACAGGCAGGAGTGATGCTAGAGATATTGTAGCATGTTGTGCTGGCAGGAGTGATGCTAGAGATGTTGTAGCATGTTGTGCAGGCAGGAGTGATGCTAGAGATGTTGTAGCATGTTGTGCAGGCAGGAGTGATGCTAGAGATATTGTAGCATGTTGTGCTGGCAGGAGTGATGCTAGAGATGTTTGTAGCATGTTGTGCAGGCAGGAGTGATGCTAGAGATATTGTAGCATGTTGTGCTGGCAGGAGTGATGCTAGAGATGTTGTAGCATGTTGTGCAGGCAGGAGTGATGCTAGAGATATTGTAGCATGTTGTGCTGGCAGGAGTGATGCTAGAGATGTTGTAGCATGTTGTGCTGGCAGGAGTGATGCTAGAAATGTTGTAGCATTTTTGTGCAGGCAGGAGTGATGCTAGAAATGTTGTAGGATGTTGTGCTGGCAGGAGTGATGCTAGAAATGTTGTAGCATGTTGTACAGGCAGGAGTGATGCTAGAGATATTGTAGCATGTTGTGCTGGCAGGAGTGATGCTAGAGATGTTGTAGCATGTTGTGCAGGCAGGAGTGATGCTAGAAATGTTGTAGCATGTTGTGCAGGCAGGAGTGATGCTAGAAATGTTGTAGCATGTTGTGCAGGCAGGAGTGATGCTAGAAATGTTGTAGCATGTTGTGCTGGCAGGAGTGATGCTAGAAATGTTGTAGCATGTTGTGCTGGCAGGAGTGATGCTAGAAATGTTGTAGCATGTTGTGCAGGCAGGAGTGATGCTAGAAATGTTGTAGCATGTTGTGCTGGCAGGAGTGATGCTAGAGATGTTGTAGCATGTTGTGCAGGCAGGAGTGATGCTAGAGATATTGTAGCATGTTGTGCTGGCAGGAGTGATGCTAGAGATGTTGTAGCATGTTGTGCTGGCAGGAGTGATGCTAGAGATGTTGTAGCATGTTGTGCTGGCAGGAGTGATGCTAGAGATGTTGTAGCATGTTGTGCAGGTAGGAGTGATGCTAGAGATATTGTAGCATGTTGTGCTGGCAGGAGTGATGCTAGAGATGTTGTAACATGTTGTGCAGGCAGGAGTGATGCTAGAGATATTGTAGCATGTTGTGCTGGCAGGAGTGATGCTAGAGATGTTGTAGCATGTTGTGCTGGCAGGAGTGATGCTAGAAATGTTGTAGCATGTTGTGCAGGCAGGAGTGATGCAAGAGATATTGTAGCATGTTGTGCTGGCAGGAGTGATGCTAGAGATGTTGTAGCATGTTGTGCAGGCAGGAGTGATGCTAGAGATATTGTAGCAAGTTGTGCAATCAGGGGTGATGCTAGAGATGTAGTATGTTGTGCAGGTAGGAGTGATGCTAGAGATATTGTAGCATGTTGTGCAGGCAGGAGTGATGCTAGAGATATTGTAGCATGTTGTGCTGGCAGGAGTGATGCTAGAGATGTTGTAGCATGTTGTGCAGGCAGGAGTGACGCTAGAGATATTGTAGCATGTTGTGCAGGCAGGAGTGATGCTAGAGATATTGTAGCATGTTGTGCTGGCAGGAGTGATGCTAGAGATGTTGTAGCATGTTGTGCAGGCAGGAGTGATGCTAGAGATATTGTAGCATGTTGTGCAGGCAGGAGTGATGCTAGAGATATTGTAGCATGTTGTGCTGGCAGGAGTGATGCTAGAGATGTTGTAGCATGTTGTGCAGGCAGGAGTGACGCTAGAGATGGAGCATGTTGTGCAGGCAGGAGTGATGCTAGAGATATTGTAGCATGTTGTGCAGGCAGGAGTGATGCTAGAGATATTGTAGCATGTTGTGCAGGCAGGAGTGATGCTAGAGATATTGTAGCATGTTGTGCAGGCAGGAGTGATGCCAGAGATATTGTAGCATGTTGTGCAGGCAGGAGTGATGCTAGAGATATTGTAGCATGTTGTGCAGGCAGGAGTGATGCTAGAGATGTTGTAGCATGTTGTGCAGGCAGGAGTGATGCTAGAGATATTGTAGCATGTTGTGCAGGCAGGAGTGATGCTAGAGATGTTGTAGCATGTTGTGCAGGCAGGAGTGATGCCAGAGATGATGTAGCATGTTGTGCAGGCAGGAGTGATGCCAGAGATAATGTAGCATGTTGTGCAGGCAGGAGTGATGCCAGAGATGATGTAGCATGTTGTGCAGGCAGGAGTGATGCTAGAGATGTTGTAGCATGTTGTGCAGGCAGGAGTGATGCTAGAGATGATGTAGCATGTTGTGCAGGCAGGAGTGATGCCAGAGATGATGTAGCATGTTGTGAAGAAGGATGTGGTGCCAGAGATGTTGTAGCATATAGGGAGGAATGAAGGAACTGAAGCATTGATTTTAATCAGGGGAAAAGCTCAACCTACAGGGAACCAAATTGCATCTGGGGGGATGAGAGGCATTTAGGTTCGGTCCAGTTAAGGAAAGGATAATTACTGTTCCTAGGATCAAGAGCCTCTCTCCAGCTGCAGGTGGTGATAAAGCTGTGGAAGGTAATGATGGATGAGCTATAGAAGATAATGGAGAAAGTGTGGAAGGTAATAATGGAGGAGCTGCAGGAGAGGGTAAATAAAGCAAGGATGGAGCTTCTGCAACTTTACAGCCTGGGCTTCAGTAAGCTAATAAAAAAGTAACTGCAGGAGACACTGCAGATGTGAGTGTTCATCGTACCATGTGTGGTAGGCTGTGTGGATGGTCTTGGGGCTGATGTCTCCGGCTGCTGGTGTGGTGACGCAGCCTTGACGCTCTGTGGCTTGTAGTGCGCCGCCAGGGCCAGGATGATGCGCATGATGCTCTTGAGGTTACCCTCAGCCACTTCCTTGCTGGTGATGTGCGTCATGCGGATCCTCTTGGCCGCCATGAACTGTAGGATCCTCTCCAGGTTCTCACGCGCGACCTGTGGCGCTGCGCCTTCCACCTCGCGGCTGACACCCGCAACGCGCTCACCAGCTGCTGACCAAACATGGGAGAGAAGGAAGTTATTAAGATAGTGTGACATTACCTCAAGAAAACACAAGAACTTGTGTTTATAAAGGTTCAGTTTTGCTACAAGAAGTATTCTACCAACAGTACATCTCTATATTCTGTTGTCTCGAGTCCAAGACTGCTCGTCGGCTCTTTCATTTTGTGATATTAACTATTGTTGTCCAACATGTGCATGTAGATCCTCCAACAATTACAGTACTGTTGTGCCGTAGAAGAATGGTTAGTGATGCTGGGATGTGTTAGTGCCAGTTTTTTTCAATTTTATGAGTGAAACTTAGATAGCAGTTTCCTTATGTAAGTTGAAGAACGCGTCTTGTAAACAGTGTCAGATATTCCTAGTTGGTATTTCCAGCTTAAATGAACGTTCGCGTTGTTGTGGTGTAGTTACCAGTTTGCTAATATTTATTTTGATAATTGTGATACCATGGTATAACATGAGAATGCATCTTCTTATTGGTTTCAAACTCTCAGAATTGCTGTATCATAGTGAATTTTTTGGATTTGTTTTTGTACAAAATGTTTCTTCCAAGAAACCATACAAAGAATCTGTATATAAGATGGGAATTTGTCTGTGATATTGTTGAACAATATCTCCTGGTCCAGAATATCATTCACTTTACTGCTGAGGGTGTCAATCACTCATTCAATCAGAAATCAACTCTTAATACCATCCCTTTGATTCATTTGTTAGTATGACCATCTCTCTGTGCCTTGCCTCCTATACCCGTGAGTATTTTGCATGTCCTGATTATATATCTTTTACTGATAAGATTCTCCTCTCCTAGTTTGTATATTTTCTGTTTTACACCTTTTTCTATGTTTAATGTAACTTATGATTGTTCTTACTTAAAACTAAGAGAGTTGAAGTAGCCACCGTGTCTGGCTGTTAGTGGACGGAGGATTGAACCTTCAACACTCCGTGCTGAGTGACCCATACGGATTTAGTGTATTAAATGAATATAGTATAGTTTAAAAAATAATAGAAGTTAACACATAACAAAATATAATCAGTGAAATTATACCTCAGAATTATTTCTCATATTTAAACCACAAGTAAAATAGTTTGTATTTAATGAAGCTTTAAATCCGTATGGGTCATTTAGCTTGAGGAGAGCTGGTGGCTCGATCCTACGTGCTGTCATCACTTATACAATAATGGGTGTAGATGCCAACTCAACCTACATATTATTTCTATGAGATCAGCAAAGACGACTCCGTTCTGCAGGTCACGTCTCAGGTCAGAGATGAGGGGTCGACCTCGCTTCCTCAGCTGAGAGTTGACCCAAGCCACGTAAGCCTAAAATACACAAAGTTAAAATAAACCAGGAGTCGAACTGACCAGTCAGTGATCTCGCCAGGTATGTCAGTGACCTCGCCAGGTATGTCAGTGACCTCGCCAGGTATGTCAGTGACCTCGCCAGGTATGTCAGTGACCTCGCCAGGTATGTTAGCGATCTTAGGCCACGAGGTCACAATTATAATAATATAAACTTCTTTACATAGGCTCAATTATTATTATTAAAACTAAGCACTAAACCCAAAAGGGTCAGCATAGGCTCAAACTAAAATTAATGGAACTGTGATATTTGAAATTTAAGATATCTTTAAGCTGAAATGGAAATCATGAACTTCTTACATCGTATCTTTTATTTCAACTATTATTGTCTTAAATCATTTTCTTAATTCAGTACAATAACATTGTAATATCGAAGCCTAGTCACAGACCGGGCCGAGGGGGGCGTAGACCCCCGACACTCTCTCCAGGTATAGGATGACGCGCACAAATCTGCGCTTCCCCTTCCCCCCCTCCCCTCAATAAAAGTACAATCTAATATAAACTTCTGTATGTGAACATTAAAATGGTATAAAATACCGACAGGTTGTTAGGTAAGACACATATGCAACAGTTAGGTATCTTTATTATGAAACGTTTCGCCTACACAGTAGGCTTCTTCAGTCAAGTACAGAAAAGTTGATAGAAGCAGAAGATACTTGAAGACGATGTAATCAGTCCATCACCCTTAAAGTTTTGAGGTGGTCAGTCTCTCAGTCTGGAGAAGAGCATTGTTCCATAGTATGAAACAATATGGAGATGAAGTGACAGGATGGAGCTTTTTATAGCTCCAAGAGGTGAGACGTAGGCCACTAGGAGAGGTAAGAACTCAGATGTTGAGAGGTCAGGTCCCTCTCAAATCCAGCCGCTCTCACTAGTGGAAGTTGTCGAAGTTGATTGCAGGTCTGTACCAAGATACCCTTGTGTTGCAGTGTCTGACAGATTGAACATTAAAATGGTATAAAATACCGACAGGTATTTGAGAGGGACCTGACCTCTCAACATCTGAGTTCTTACCTCTCCTAGTGGCCTACGTCTCACCTCTTGGCGCTATAAAACGCTCCATCCTGTCACTTCATCTCCATATTGTTTCATACTATGGAACAATGCTCTTCTCCAGACTGAGGGACTGACCACCTCAAAACTTTAAGGGTGATGGACTGATTACATCGTCTTCAAGTATCTTCTGCTTCTATCAACTTTTCTGTACTTGACTGAAGAAGCCTACTGTGTAGGCGAAACGTTTCATAATAAAGATACCACTTCTGTATGTGTCTACCAAGAAGGTGGATTCTGTATGAAGTAACGTTTTATACAGAATTCTCTGTAGAGCTTTATCAGCTCCTACAAAACTTACGAAAATATGCAGTTGTCTACAAAATATTTTTTCAGATTCTATTTTTTTACGTGGTAAAATATATGAAAAATGCTAGTAAGCATAGTAAGATGAGATTCCCTGGTAGATGGATTGGAGGTGATGGTTCCTAACGCATGGCTCAACACGCTTCCCTGATAACACCTGTTTAATCTTCTTGTGCAGGATTGTGAACTGTTGTTTCCAGATACCAGTAGCTGACGCTGAAGTCGCACTCCCTGCTGACACCACTAAAGTAGCACTCCCTGCTGACACCACTAAAGTAGCACTCCCTGCTGACACCACTAAAGTAGCACTCCCTGCTGACACCACTAAAGTAGCACTCCCTGCTGACACCACTAAAGTAGCACTCCCTGCTGACACCACTAAAGTAGCACTCCCTGCTGACATCACTAAAGTAGCCCTCCCTGCTGACACCACTAAAGTAGCACTCCCTGCTGACACCACTAAAGTAGCACTCCCTGCTGACACTAAGACTCTCTGCTGCAGTAAATGATGGCATCGGAGAACTCTCAGTGTATGGCCAGTACTTTAAGAATGAACGGGAGTGTCGCTTCGCTGGGTTACCAGCCACTACAGATACATCATAATACGTGTTGAAGGTGCATATATTAGATAACGTGTTACTTCAGTTATCATTTGCAGATAAAAGTGCATTTCATATATTAGCATTTTGCAAAATAAATTGCAGCCGGAAAAGGCTCTCGTGAACACCTGTATATTCCTACATAGAACAGTAGTCCCCAAATTCCAGTATAAAAGGAGCAATTTGAAAAGCCAGATTTAAAGGAGGGCCGGATTTTGTAATGATCGATATTAACATTATACTTAAAACATTATAATATGGTAAAATAATTATACAGAAAGTCGTAAGATGAAACACGTAAATAATTCTCTTATAGAAATACTGTGTTTTAATTTTTATGGAACATTTGAATCTTAAGGTGTATAATACAACCTCTATAATGGAAAGAAATAAAATTTTAAGGTAATTACTAATTATTAACAGTAAATATGGTGCTACTAGGATAACCCGGCACTGACCAGAAGTGAGAGCTGGGTGTTACAGGAGGCGATAATGTTTTGGTGTAAAATGGCTTTAAATATTGTGTAATTGTTAATACTGTGCAGTGAATTTATAATTTCATGTGAGGGCCGCATCCATTTCCTAGGGGGACCCCTGTCTTAAAAGGCAAGGTGGAAGTAGGCGAGGTGTCTGGAGAGGCGAGGTTTCTCATGCATAATAATGGAGAAGCGAAGTTTCTCACGTATAGTAATCGTCTGAGCAGGAATTATTGGAATGTTAAAATCGTAAGTCAGGTGTGTTGCAAGGCTGCAGGTAGAGAAGCACTGCAGATCTATTGTGAACGCATAATCACAAGTCTCTTCATCATGGGTCGTTAAATGTCCATGTAATACGATTTGTACTAGAGGTTTGACTAGCCTAGTCAAACCGTCTGTCTCATCCAGCTCAGGGAATGGTGTACTCAGGCACTGATGTTATTTTGAGTCTTGTCCTGGTTCGATAACTTTGCTGGGGTTTGAAAATATGAAAGAAACATTCTTGCCACTTCCTGTAACACCCGCGTGACTATATTATCAGTGACTCCTGAGCAAAGAGGAGGACGAAGTTCGTGGCTCATACACAAATAACCCGCACATAAAAGAGAGAAGCTTACGACGACGTTTCGGTCCGACTTGGACCATTTACAAAGTCACACTAACCAGAAGTGGAGCAGGACGGTTATTTATAGGCAGGAAGAGGTGGTGGTAGTAGTAGTAGTAGCAGCAGTAGTAGTAGTACAAGAATGGTATATAATACCGACAAGATGAAATTAAGACACGTGCACAACACCCGGGCATCTCTATCGTAGACGCTTCGCCATCCAGCCAGCCACTGGATGGCGAAACGTCCACAACAAAGACACCCAGATGCCGCACATGTGTCTTAATTTCATCAGTAGTAGTAGTAGTAGTAGTAGAAGAGGTAGTAGTAGTGGTAGTGGTAGAAGTGGGGAATAAGGAGGACGAGCCAGTCAAATACAAAGGAAGGGGAGCACTGCAAGGGAGCTAGGTGACCACAGAGGGAGAGCAAGCGCACAGAGGTGCGTGAAAGGGGAAGTGGTGAAATAAATGAACACTTGTCCAAGTTACTAGGCAGCATTAGCAGGGCTCACTTCCGCCTTTCAGGAGGCACCAGCATTGAAAACATGAATTTGAAAAAAAAAAAAACTTAAGCTAGTTTGGATGTCACATCGCTGTCCATTATCCCCTACAACCCAGTTAGTAGTGCTGTAGACGACCTCTCGTAGAACTACCATTGCCTGTCCAACTTTTATAGACCTGAAATTTATAAAAAATTTAATTTCTTTCAACAGCAATTTTTTACGGACAAATTAGGCATTTCTGTGGAATCAATAATTGCCCTCTTAGCCATAATATACATGGAGTCATTATATGGAACCTTGAGGTAGAATTTCTCCAGCATTATCCTATGAACTGTCACATAGCTGAGTTACGTCGACTATGACCTCATAATTACACCTATATTTTTCAACCTTAACTTCAAAAACAGCCTGAACCCGGCTGAATCTTCTATCCCGTTTATAATCGAAGTAGAAAAGGAGAACACCTTCCCGTTTAAGGTGGTGCCAGTCATAAAACTGGAGAACTAATCTAGTTTACCACGGCCCAAGTCTTTTCTTCTCTGCACAGCAGGAAGATAGTGGGAAATTCTCTTCGACTACGTCCTGAGAAGCTACAGAATCTGCAGCCAGGAACACCTAGAAGTAATGTGCCATTATTAGCGATGGCTTTACCACACTTTCCTTACACTGTATTCCTGATTTTTGGTAAGTACAGAAAGTATTTTTCCAACGCCCAAGGACGACAAACATTCCATCAGTGTCTCAGTATTTGTTCAGGGAAAAAATGCTGATATAATCATGCAGACGTTAAAGAAAAATAACACTAGAGACTGTCAACACTTCTAAAACGATGTGATATCAGCACACTAGGAGACAGCAGTCACAACAACACCAGCACTGAAGTCTACACCGTTCCTGTGCTCGATGTGATAGATAATGTAGAAGAAACTTGCTGCAGTTTAAGTGAAAGGTTACGAGAATCTCTATTTGCTTGCAGAACGTGCAACGAAATGAATGTCTATAACCTCCGCTGAGACTGAAACCTGTGGAGTCGTTACTATACAACACCTCTGAACAAAGTTTTTTAACTTGGGTAAACCCATATAATATGGATAGTTACGAACCTGTGAGTTGGCGACATATCAACCTTTCCTTTGACCATTACTACTCTACTTATACGTACAAGTTAACATATGATTCTCAAACACTGATTCTGGCTGGCTGAGGGAGACCTGACCTCTACAGCAGCCTCACCTACCTCCTCCTTACCTTCAAGGAGTGTCTTAACTAACTTCTGTATGACTTGATAAAGCTCTACTCAGAACAAAATGTTTTTTTTCATTGAAAGATTATTTTGCATCTTGTGTTGTCATCTTCAAGCAGTATTCTTACAGGTGATAAAACATGTGATTGTCAATAACATTTCAAATGTGATTATCAGAAGTGAATGCTGAAAAAAAAACTAATGAGAAGTGAGTCTCGTGTGGTTCACCTGAAGTTGCTGTGTCCACTCCATCCATGACACTGAGGAAGCAGCGGTGCAACCGTCGCCCCGTCTAACAGCGTCCTGCTGAGAACCTCCCTCTCTCAGATGTAAGGCTCGCCGTTCCTCTGTCACCTGAAGACCGTCGGCGCCGTCTGCGTCCCGGTCGCGACAGTCATGGGAGGGAGCATCTCGAACCCTCAGTAAATTGCTAGATTCACTGATGAACCCCTTGGCTGCCTCGCCACGCTCCCCGTTATATAAACGCGACTCACGCCGACCCTGGATTCTCTCCTGACGAGACTCTAGGACTTCATGTTCCTCTACGTCCACTGACAGTTCACGGAAACCTCTCGTCTCTCCATCATGAGCGAAGGTCTCTTCCCGCACTTCCATATAGGCTCTAGAGTCCCGGTTGTCTCTGATATCTCGCGGCAAACTTGTGTCCCTGAATTCTCTGGATAATCTCGCATCTTTATTATTCCTGGGTTCGCTGCTGTGTCTCGTGTCTTTTAGGTCTCTTGGGTCCCTCTTAGTTTCCCTACCTTCCCTCAGTTCCCTATTATCTCTAATGTCTCTGAAGTCGCGAGAGAGTCGATGGTTAAGCCGCTCTTCATTTTTTCTGGTCTCTGGAAGGTCTGGAATCTCTGCGTAGCGGGGCTGAGTGTCTTGAGGGTAAACACTGTCGGAGAGCAGAGCCCCATCAGGCGACGCAGGTCGTGGGGGTCCTACTGGCATTGTATACTGAGATGTGGAGAGTCCGCGAGGTGAGCCGCTGGTGGGATGTGGTGAGCTGTGTGGTGAAGGGTGAGAGTGTGGGGAGCTGCGTGAAGGGTGAGTGTTTTGGGAGCTATTTGAAGGGTGAATGTGTGGGGAACTGCGTGAAGGGTGTGTGTGGGGAGAGCTGCGTGAAAGGTGAATGTGTGGGGAACTCTGTGAAGGATGAGTGTGTGAAGGGTGTGTGTGGGGGAGTTGTGTGGTGGAGGTGTGTGTGGGGGGAGTTGTGTGGTGAAGGGTGTGTGTGGGGGAGTTGTGTGGTGAAGGGTGTGTGTGGGGGGAGTTGTGTGGTGAAGGGTGTGTGTGGGGGGAGTTGTGTGGTGAAGGGTGTGTGTGGGGGGAGTTGTGTGGTGAAGGGTGTGTGTGTGAGGATCCAGTTACACAAGGTTGTTTAGCAGGACGTATTGTTGGGTACTGTACAGGCGAGGATGACACCGACGAGGTAGAAGTCGTAGTAGAAGAGATAGACACTGGTGAGGTTCTGGAGGCATTGAGCAAGTCTTCTGTTGACTGTGAATAAGGGACGTCCGCTGCCACCAGTTGCCCATTACGTCCTGCTGGGGCGTCGAGGGAGTGTGGCCCGTTCTCCATGGCCGGAGTGCTGAGCGAGTCGAACCCAGAATCCAGGTCCCTAACTGACCACCTGTTGTTCTTAGGGGCCCACGACTCGTAGCTGGGGCGCGGCAGAGACGAACTTGTGAGGTCCTCGTGTGGCTGGGGAACACTGGAGTTGCGGCGCTCCCAAGACTCTCTTATCTCTCGGAAGTGTGTGGAATCCCTGGCATCCTTGATATCCTGCTGATTCCTGTGTTCATGTGATCCTCTGAAATTTCTTCCTTCCCACTGATCTCTTGAATCTCTCTCCTTGGGATCTTTCAGTTCTCTGAAATCTCTCTCTCTCGTGTCCTCGAGATTACGTGAGTTTCGTATGTCTCTCAGATCTATATCTCTGGGCTCCCTGCAGCCGTGGAGCTCCTGTTTATCTCGCTCTCTAGGCTCTCTAACATCCATTTTGGGAGGTGGAGGGGGCTGGTAAGGTCCACGGGGCCGCCTCAGGGGGTCTGGGGGCTGATGTCTGGAATATGGTGGGGGCTGGCGGGAGGCTGGGGGAGGGTTGGACGGAGACCGGAAGCGCACGTTGGGATCCTCTCTAACCATACCTCTCCTCGGTAGAGTACACGTCCCCGGTGCCTGAGGAAGAAGCTCTTGCTGGTACATGTTCTCGTCCTGACGGTGTCCAGGTACAGGCGGGAGAGGCTGCTGCGGAGGTTGTGGCAGGTGCTGGCCGTGGGGTGGCACGGGCGGTGGTGGGTGTGATGGCGGCGGAGGTGGGCGGGATGATGGTAGAGGAGGAGCATCATTATCAACGCTGCTAGACAATCTGAAACATCGAGAATTTGATATATAAGTGCATAAATATTTCATTTTTTTAATATGTTAATGTAAAGCTCTAAATCCCTATGGATCATTCAGAGCAAAGAATTTTGGTGGATGAATCCGCCATCCACTAACTGCAACCTGACCTCTGGCCATTGTTTCATTAATATTACAGCGGTCGAAGGGTAATCTGTGGTATCAGCACTCGTCTGGAAAGATATCAGTTGAATGAATGATTGTGAGTACGTTTCCTTTTTATTTATTTATTTTTTTTTTTTTTGATGACCCTGCCTTGGTGGGAGACAGTCGTTAAGTTAAAGAAAAATGCAGTTGGGTACCCCACGAAAGCAATGTAAATACAATAGATGTTAGAATTTCTTTTTTTCTTCCAAGGTTTTCATGTGACAACTTTTATCATCTTCAAAACTTCAGTGTTTGTTGGGAGTGTTGTTGATCTGTGTAAGTGCCAGTTTGCCAATTTTAACCATACAAATACTGTAGTATAGAGCTCTTCGCGCGGCAGCTTGAGAACGGCTCTCTCCTCGTCGGCTAAGTTTTCCACACGCTTATTTGCCGCTTATACGTTCAGATTGTTATTGAAGTGGGTGGTAAGCGTGGAGAGTGAGGCTGCAAGGAGGGAGAAGATGCTCACCTGGTCTCAACAATACTCACAGTCCAGCACCTCAACTATTATTTGCTCAGTGCTAACGTCTTTTGTGTTGCCTTCGTCCTCACGTGTGTGAGTAAACACCACCCCGTCTTCCAACACTGCCTCTCAACAATATTTGCCCTCAACACTTCTTGCCTCATCAATCATTACCCTCAACACTCCTTGCCGTCGACGTCTTGCCGCCAACACTCCTTGCCCTCAACATTCCTTGCCCTCAACACGTCTTGCCATCAACAAATCATGGTTCAAAAGATCCAGGAGTAATTAACCCGGCACCGAGCGGCACAAGGATGTGAGTGATGTACGTTCGCCGGTGTTGTCCCGGACCGAGTCTTTTCCAGTTGCTGACCCGGCTGGGATGTCCTGGGAAACGCACAGGTAGATTTCGAAACAAAACCTGCTACGAGCTCACTCTATAGTAGTCTTGTATGGGCAGCATACATAGATATGTCCTTTGGAAGTGATGGGCATGATGTCCTACAGATTAGCAGCAAGTTATACAAGGTTCAACAGGACGTGGGTGTTTGAACCTCCTTCAACAGGATTGTCACTTTCAGATGACTCTGTCGATTGACAGTCGGGCGTACACACATCACTGACGGGTACCTGTCCACAGGTGTTCCTGCTCCTTTCTGTGCAACTTGTGGTATACAACTGACTTAGGAACACATTTTAACTATTTACCCACGACTTAACTTGACTCACGAAATCGTAATGACACGATTGTAAACAAACCATACCACGGGTGGGGTTTGATCCCGCTGTCAGAGATTCTCTAAACTCTAAGCTAGCTGGCCCAGTGGCTAACGCGACGATCTGGAGTTTAGAGACTGACCGCGGGATCAAACCCCCACCTGTGGTATGGTTTGTTTACCCACGACTTAGTCCCTCTTCGCCTTCGTCATGGTTTTTATGACACCCAAGAGGTCGAAGAGCTGGAGAGTATTATTCTTCAGAGGCCCAGGAGTTTGAAATTAATCGAGTCAAAACACCGCGATAATGAATGATGAGACTAAACATTGTGAAGATAACTCGATAATAACCCACATGGAGACAGAAATACAGGAAGTTGATTGATCTATATATTTCGACCCTTCTGGGATCCTCTTCAGTAGGATTGATATGTACAGATCAATCAACCTCCTGTGTTAGTGTCCACGTGCGTTATTAAGCCCTGCAGGTGTTCATTGTGAAGGTATCCTGAAAAAGTCACACATCCGGGAGATGTAGATCCTTACTAATAGGCTGAGGAGCTGGAACTCAACCCTGTAAGTTTGTGATTATAATATATACCGTGTATCACTCTCTGAAACTAGGCTGAATTTTCCTTTAAAGTTTTGTGTTAGAATGTTTACCTTGGATGGAAGACTTGGAGACCGGAAGCGGATAATGGGTTTTAGGGAAACCATATCAAGGAAATTAATGAAGATTTTGTTCGAATTTTTTTACCCGGAGGGTTAGTGATCCGGGAGAAGCCAATAATGCCGGATCATCAGACTATTAGGGTCCTTTACTCCTCTTCCTAGGATACAACACACAGCAGTCACCTTACTTAGGCACCAACTTACGGTTAGGTGAACAGGAGCACCAGGTGTAAGGAAATATGTCCAAGGTTCCACTTGTCCGGGGGTTGAACCACGGTCTAACATTTTGCTGCTTCCAGTTATCCTACAACGAAGTATTTTAACAATTTATAGGAAAAGGCTTGAATTAATCATAATTTCTAGAATTAGTGCTGACGTTGAATAAAAAATAATATATCTTAAAGCAAGTAACTGTTAGTTACTTCTTTTACTACCACAGAAAAGTGAGTATATAACATACAGGTGATAAACCAGTGACATCATCCTTGGCTTAATAACAGAAGCCAACGGAGAGAACATCTCCTGGGTCGAATCATGACTGAAAGATAGACAACAGTGTATCTCCATTAATGGGAAGAAATCAGAATGGATACCTGTTACAAGTGGTGTACCACTGAGGCCAGTGTTGGGACTTACGTTATTCACAGTCAACATAGTTACATAGTTGAGGGAATAAATAGCAATATAAGTTTGCCGATGACATTAAAATAGGCCGTCAAATAATTTCTAAAGAGGACACTAGAAAGCTGCGGGATGACTTGCATAGGTTGATGTTGTGGTCGGAGAAGTGGCAGCGGCGGCAGCTTTGTGTGCACAAATGTCAAGTTCTAATCCTAGTGAAAGAAAATAACCATGATATTTATAAGTTAAATAATATATATACCTATTATATATCTTTATCGTCACTGATCTCATGTAGTTGATTTATTATTTAATTTGTGTGGTTAAAATCATGACTTATTTCACATTGCTAAACTCACAAACTAGTATTTAGTCACTTAGCCATAATACCAACTTACCTCATAATTTGTAATATTTTACAATTAAGAATAAAACTAAGTCTGCCCGAAATGCCTAGCCATGCTAAGCGTTCTAGTGGTACACTCTGTAATCACTATTTTACTACATGTAAACCACACAATAACCAAATTTCTGTAAACTCAGCATTGTAATCCTTATAGAGAATAAACTTTGAACTTGAATTTGAATATAAAAGTTAGGCTGCTGATAGTGAGGCATAACGAGGACACCAGTGGAAAAAATCACTTTGATTTTTGAGGGGTTAGATAAGTTGATTTTTGAGTACAGGTACATACAAGTACAATTAATTATCATACATAGTAACGTCTGTAAATTACCTAGAATAACCCAGAAAAGTCAGTGATATATTTGCAATGGAGTCTTTGTAATATGGTATTAAAGATGTTGCAGTATGTTACAGTAGAAATAAGTCATGATTATAACCTTAAAATTAAAACAGCTAAGTAACTCAGCTGTGAAAAATCAGTTAAAGTAAAAAGAGTTACAATAGGATTAAGTTGAACTGAGTTCTTTAATGAACATTAAAGATAGAAGTTCCTGGGTAATTTATGCATGGCAAGTAAGTTTATTTAGGTACCGCTACACAAAAGTACACTTTCAATAGATAATTAAATTACCTCGGCTAAGATTACCAAAAAGTCTGTCCTGGTACGAGCCAGTTGAAGAAGAGAGCTACAGACACACACAGGAAGGGAGGAGAGTGTTGTCTTGTATAACTAACATTACTGTACCTGTTATTGCAAGCTGATCCTCTTTAATGTTAATGTAAATAACTCACTTTACTTCATTCCTAACAAATCTCATTTTATTTTAACTGATTTTCACACAATTAAGTAACTTGGTTCTTTTAACTTTTAATGTATAAGTAAGACATTACAAGGACCACAGTGGAAATAAGTCACTTTCACTTTTTGTGTTATCCTAGGTAACTTACACTATGTATGATAATTTGATGCCCCATGGCCTGGTGGCAAAATCTGTCTTCACACGGTGGGGGTCCGGGTTCGATTCCCGTCGATGGGAGTGGAAACATTGGACGTGTTTCCTTACACCGGTTGTCCATGTTCACCCATCAGTAATAATAGGTACCTGGATGTTAGTGGACTGGTGTGAGTCGCATCCTGGAACAAAACTGACCTAATTTGGCCAAAATGCTCAGCATAACAAGCGGCTTAATATGTACTAGTATATTATTGATGTCAGCTAGGACTGTATATCTTGTGCATGTACTTGTAGTAAATAAAAGATACAAGGAAACACTGTATCAACATCCGGGGTCCCAGACTATTCATCATCTTACCAGAAGATATCAGAAACACGGCTGGGACAAGTGTAGAAGCCTTCAAGAGGAAACTGGGCAAGTATCTTCACCAGGTGCCAGATCAACCAGGCTGTAATGGATGTGGGGCAGCGGGTCTCCAGCAGCAACAACCTGGTTGACCAGGCAAGCATCAGACGATCCTGGCCCATGGCCGGGCTCAGAGTAGAGAAACTCTCGAAGCTCTTTAAAGGTATATCAAAGGTATATTATTAATTGTAATTTGTGTATACCTGTACCTAAATAAAGGTACTAAAAATGTCAGTGACTGACTTATTTCCATTGGGTTCCTTACCATGGTAAGGAACTGGCTTATATTCGTGTAATTGTGCCTCAATAAACTTAGTTTTTCCAGAAATTAATAAATACTTCACAGTTGAGTCAGTCACGACAAAATCATTTTCTTTCATCTCATAGAAAATGTAAAAATACCGAAGGTGGACTGAGGTAACTCTACAAAAAGATGCACCAGTCACAATAGTCCTGCGACTCACGCACTCCAGAGTCAGCTTTTGTTGGAGCTTTCTGTATGTTTAACATGAAGAGTTGAGTTGTGTGTTTGACGTGGTGGTGCTCAGTGTGAGGGTTCACACAGTAGATGAACACTGTTT